TTTCCATGCACAAAATCCCTTCCTATTACATAATCTAGCCTTCCTCCCGCCACGTTGGTTTCCCTGTCTGTATCATATACGGTCATAGATCTACTCTAATTTCGTTGCATTGACTATCTCCAAATGTATAATGTCTAGCATTAAAATCTCACCTGCATATTGTGCAGTGACTCTGAAATTTGGGCAGTGAATCAGTTTGAAACTTTCTACACCTTGCGTATACACTGTACAGAGAGAAAAACCCAGTGGCTGTTCGAAAATGTAAATGCTGATATCGCACATTATTGTTATCAGACTTCTGCTTCAGTTTATGTGGTAGGGTGTCACTGACATAAGTCATCAGGCCTGTTATTCCTGTGTTCGTATAGGAATGGTACCCTCTAATTCAAGGGGCGGTTTTTATCTTAATGGCTGGCGTGAAGGGCTCTTGTAAACAGATAACGTCAACTTTATTGTTATGAATATAGTAAAGCAAGTCATTAATTGTACGTGGTTGACACCACGTATATTCGATGAAAAAGTAATTGTTTTCTTGTCCCCCATCACACCCTATGATTAGCTGATTGGTCAAATCTGTGTTTGATGAAGCCCTTTAGTCTGCATAGTTCTTGTACAGCATTACATATTTGTGTTACATCTTGTTTATTTGCACAGATCCGTACCTGATATCATTTTCTGAGTGATGTCCCACAGTTCTTCCGTTTCCTGCACGTCTTCGTTGGCTTTATTTTCACTGTCACTATCGTCACCGTTTTCAGATGATTCGTCGATGGTATCGTGCATAATAATATCAGAGAATTCATTCGTATTTGATCACTAACATCATTAGAAAGCATATTTCCCCTGTCTACACTATCACCTTTTCTTTCCATTATTTTTTTTTTTCAGCATGACCTTGCCTGAGGCTTCTTATTTCCTCGGCCATTTCCTTGATTTTTTTTCACCATTGGTTACCTCTGTGGCACTGTTACCTGGGATGGGGAACCCCCTGGCAGTTGCAGGAATTCCTGTGGGTTGGTGATGTCACACGGCACTTGGTGGGGTGTAGCTGGCCTGGGCATTACCATTCCGCGGTCAATGGGTACGGTCGTGGTAGGGGTAGTTACGGTGCCTGTTATCCTTCTCGTTGTTTCTTACAAGGTAGTCCTTGTCTGATGAGCTCCTGCACAGACGACACAAGCTGTTTCTGTCCTGCATTATATAGCTACGTGGCCGTAACCCTGGTACTTGTAGCAGACCATAATCTCTGAGCACCACGATCGAATGGAGCTCGGCTGTATGTATCTTCCAAAGAATTGGCATTCTTTAAATGGCGGCTGTTCTCCGCTCCATCTAATGAGGATCCTATTTAAGGGCTATCCGTCCTTGTAAATCCTCCGAACTTTAAAAACACTCGGAAGATGCAGTGCTTCCTTTGCGGCGGCCTCCTTCGGAAACCTGGTAACCTGGTATTCCCCGTATCTTTTGCTTTAGGGCTGATAGTTGTCTTTGTTCTTTGTACTGTCATTAACCATCAAAGCCACGTAGTTTTGTTGTTCCCGTCGCACGTAGACGTAGCGAGAGGATGTACATTTCCCCTGCACCCATGTTTTTATTTATGGTAGACATGTCCTCCAGAAAGGCCAGTTTAATGTACCCGTCCCAGGGGGCGATGGGTTTGCGTTGTTTGGTCTCTTCTCCGGTTGGTTTGTCAGTCAAGTTGCTGGAGTCACGTGATGAGTCTTCATTTTCTTCTTTTTTGTCTGAATGAGTTGGAATCCTTCGTCATCAGCATCAGGGTCGGGAGGCGAATCCATATTGTTCAGAACCCTATGCTCAGTGGAATCAAGTTGACATTACGGGTATATCCACCTCCCGCTTCATGATGGGACAGCGAGGAGGTGGTTGTCCGCTTCTGAGGTAATTAATTCCCTGCGGTCGGGCGTGGGGAAGGTGCGAGCGCTAGGTCAAGTGCTGTCACATATACACTTAACAGGGCTCGTCAACGGCCGTTCGTACAGCACCAGTTACTCTGACACTATGCTCAGTATTCGTATTTTTTACCCACACACACTCTGGGTATAAGGACACCCCCCCAAAAAAATATATATATATGAGCCGTATTCATGTTTCGATTATATCTTCGTCAGAAATACATGACGAAGATATAATCAAAACCGGTCAGATACATCTTTTGTATTCATTCTTATTCATACCTTTTATTCACACACACACACACACACACGCAATGTATGTATGTACATATATACATACATACATTCATACATATATATACATATATATGGATATATATTTATTGTGTGTGTGTGTGTGTGTGTGTGTGTGTGTGTGTGTGTGTGTGTGTGTGTGTGTGTGTGTGTGTGTGCCCCCCCCTTCTGTGGGGTACGGCTGCAGTCCGGCTCATGACGCTCTCTTATGAAAGGAGCCCCTCTGCAAACACCAGAGCACACACAAAGACACACACACACACACACCGAGAGAGAGAGAGAGAGAGAGAGAG